TCGCTTCCAAGCGCTTGTTTTCCTGCAGCGCCTGGAATGATAATCCCGCGCGCTGCCCAGTAGGAGCTGCTTTGGCTGCCGCGAGAAGGGCCGGGGAACGGGGGGGAGGCATCTGGAAACGATTCCTCGCACCACTCCCTGCGAGGCTGCCGGGGCTGCTGGAGGCACAGCGTGCGAGCGAGGCCGGCCTGGGTGAGGCCACAAGTGTTCCTCCCGGGTGCTGCGCTTTTTCTCCCCGAAAAAAATCCCTAAAAAAATAGCCCAAAGAGCAGGTAGAGCCGCCCGCGGTTATCTCACAGGGCGGCGGTGTGCGTGCCCACCTCTGGAGCCGCAGGGTTGACCAAATTGCGCGTTATTTTAGCCAAAACATCCCGAGGCAGGCGGGGTGCCGGGCCCAGGCGCCCTCCTCCCAGCCTTCCCCCTCCCCGAGCCTCGCAGCGAGCGGCCGAGGGGGGAGCTGGCACTTGTTCTGGGAAGATTTTTCTCTCTTGAACTCATTGCCGCCGCGATTAGAGCGGCTCAGGAAACGGGGATGGGAGGGTTCTCCTCCCTGCAGGAACAGAGTGGGAAATCTCAAATTTTGTCAGAAAAACAAGCCCTAGCTTTTAGCCAGGGACCTTTCTGATCAGAGAAACGTCTCTCTTTCTCTCTCTCCCTTTTTTTTTTTTTCCTTTTTTCTTTTCAAAGGAAAAGCAGCCTAGCTTCAGGCTCGGTGTCGGAAAGTGGAAAGGGTTCACGGAAAGCCCAGAGGTCTGTTTTTACTGGAAATGAGGTTTCTCACGTCAGCTGAGAGCTGAGCAGCCCCAGCCAAGCGGCGCAGCACGGCAGCCCCGTGCTGGCGGCAGGACGGGCTCAGCGCCTGCCCCGTGCTCCTTTCCCCCAGTCCCCAAAATCTGGCTGGGGGCCACGGGCAGGCACTGCCCTGCGAGCACTCGGAGCTGTGCCTCTTCCCAGTTTTCTCTGTCACTTCTCCTTTCCAGTTCTGGGGTCTGGGAGGGTTGGGACATCTCCTCCCCGCACCTTTGCAGGAGCTGTTGGGTTTCCTAGGACCAGGGTTTTCCTCCCCAGGTTGCTCCTCGCCCTGACAAGCCAGGCACTGCTGGGTTTATCCACGGCATGGTGGGATGCTTAATTCCCTCTTGGGCTGCTCAGGTGGGGCGTTAGGAGGTGTTTCTCAGGGCAGAGCTGCATGTCTGTCCTTGGGCTAAATTCCTGCTGTGAGTTGAGCCCTCAGCACATTGCATGGGCTGGTCCTGCCTGCTAGAAGGGAGCGTCGCCTGCCCGAAGCCTTGGGCTCGGCAAGCAGCGTGGCCTCACCCTGCTGCTAGCTTTTCGGAGCCTTCAGACAGCATCTGGGCTGTCAGCGAGGAAGATTTGTGCCTCTTCTTCCTGTTGTCCTTGACCAAGACTCAGCGCTTTGCAGACAGCTGTGCTTGAGCGTGATGTTTCCTTCCAGCCTCGGTGGTCGAGTGAATCGCAGGGAGCGCTGCAGCCCTTCCCTGCGCTGGGCTGAGGTCCCAGGCATGTGCCTGGGGTGTAGCCTTGGGGATTTTCTCTCCGCTCCCCGGGCAGGCTGCCTCCTTCTCCAAACCTGCAGGGGGGTCTCCAGCATCCAGCCGTAACCGCTGAGCGGCAGGTCCCAAAGAGGAGTAACTTGAGTCGGAAGGAAATGCAGCATGGCAAGGCTTCCCAATGATCCGAGCAGCTGTGTAACTCGCTGCCTGCCCACGGAGAGAGGCAGAAATTTAGATGAGTGCACCCAGAAAGGGCTGAGGAGCTCCTTGTTTGCCTCCTGGCAGGCTCCTCACCCATGCTGCAGTGGCTGCTCGCCCTAGAGGAGGTAGGTGGGTCCCCGGAGCCGGGCTGTGACTGATCCCCGGCTCCTTTTCCTGCTGCCTGCTTCTTTGTCCTGTGCTGAGGCTGCTGCCAGGCCCTCCTTGCCTCCCCTCTGCCCTCCCTCCTGCTCCTCGCTGCGGCTCCAGCTGGGGAACAGGGCACATAGGGCCGAGCAGAGCTTTGCCACGACCATCTCCATCCCTCTGTTCTCTTCGCAGCACCCGTGGCTCCTGTTACACCGTGGAGAGGATCAAAAACCCGTCCCACCCTGCTCGTTTCTACCCCTTTGCCACTCGTGAAGCCCTCCTGGGCTCCCCCTGCCCTCCCAGGTGGGACCACGCCGGCTTCTCCTCTCCCTCGCCGCCCGCCAGCCCTGCACCGACAGCCGGCTCCCAGCTGCGGCACGGTGAAAGCTGCTGTGGCCGGACGTGACCTTAACCTGGGCTTTATTTAGCACTTTGATTTATGGAGGAGTTATTTTAAAAGCCTGTTTCTCTTTTTGGGAGGTGTGGCGAGCGTGTGGTGGCAGCGTGCGGGAGTTCATGGGGCTCCTGTGCTATTTACAAAGAAGCGTTTGAGTCCCAAGACCCATTTTTTTTTTTTTTTCCTTGGGCAGATGCTCTCTGGCTCGCTTGGAAAGCTCCTGTTTGCCTTTGTGCCGGGTGGCTGAAAAGGAGCAAGTGTCCCGTTCCCCACCAGGAGGAGGATGTGGCAATGCTGCTGGGGGGCTGCGTTCTCCAGGAGGGCCCCTCCTGGGCTTTGCCAGCTCTCCAGGCGTGGGCAGGAGTGGCAGTAAGCCGTGGCAGCAGTGCCGTCTCCGTGGATCCTTGCTGGGTTTAGCTAGCTCCCCTCCTCTCAGGACCCTGGCCCCATTATTTTGGGCTGCAGAAATTTCTCCTTGCACCCGCGGGGTGGTTGCATCCCCTGCATGACACGAGGGATGCAGCTCGTGGATCAGCCGGGCTGCAGACTTCAGATTTATTGCAGTGCTGGATGCTGTCCCCTTCTCCTGGGGGTTCATCCGAGCTCCCCGTGCCTCCAAACCCCAGCTCCTTGGGGTGCGTGGCCGCAGGCCCTGCAGGTGCACCCCAGCGAGGTTGTTCCCACAGCTCCCTCGGCAGCCTCAGAAGCCTGCATCGCCTCTCCATCACCTCTCTGTCCCTTTAAAGCCTGCACAGGGACCACGACTTCACGGTACGGCACAGCTAGAGAGACGTAAAACCTCTTTACAGTGGCTACAGGCTGTGCTTATCCTGTATTTCACCAAAGGAAGGGCTAATATGCGACTTGGTTTATTTTAACCTTATAAAGGATTTTTGATTCGGTGCCAATGTTAATAATTGTCCTGTGCAGGCTTTGCTCAGGCAGCAGGAATGGTGCGAGAACCTGAGAGCAATGCACTGACTCATGTGCAAATATTTTTCCTTCTTTGTTTTATTTGCAACAGCAAACGAAATTCGTTGTGTGTGGGGGGGGATTATTATCTGAAAGAATTCTGCAAGAGGGATGGGGCAGAAGGCGGCACAGACCTTTCCTCCCCCCCCCCAGCTGGTTTTGGCTGAGATTTTGCATCTGCGTACAGCAGAGGGTCAGGTGGAAATTTTTTTCAGCTCCTACCAGCTGCGATGCTGCACGAGGCAGCTGGTTTGCTGTCACCCACGTTCGCCAAGTTTGGGGCAGGGAGGGATTGCGGAACGGCCTCGTCTCTCCCGTGCCGTCCTGCCTGCTGTCCTACAGGAAGGCTTCACAGCCAAGCAGTGAATTCATACGGTGCCTAAAACACCCAGCCCTCTAAACGAGGAATTTAAGGGTCGTTGAGCTGGGCAGCTGGGAAAAATGGGAAGGTTTTTGTGAGCAGCATCCTCTCTGCTGTGGCTGCAGCTCCTTTCAGCTTCCTTGCTCTGAGGCTGGTGCAGTTTCTCAAGCCGGTGCCTGGAGGGATGGAGCCCTTGGAGAGGAAGAAGTGAAATGGTTTCCTTCCTCCTGATCCGTCCATCCCGCTGTTCCCCGGTGGCAGCAGGAGCTGCTGTGGCACTGCTTTGTTTAACTTTCTCTCCAAACCTTGCTGTGGGACTGAGGTATGTTTTCAGGCATGTCCATGCAGCTGTTCCTGTTCTACAGGAGGCTGGAGGCTTCTGGGCCAGAGGCTCGAATGCTCGCGTTGTCTCTAGTGAAAGGAGGTGGATTTATATCAGACGAGAATCTGGCCAGACACCTGAGTAAACTTTCATTTGGTTTTGTAACAAAACTCACTCCCACTGGCTTTAGGTTAGCCAGAGGGGTCTCCTCTACAACAGAGAGGCAGGGAGGGATCTCGCTCCTCTCCGCAGATGCGTGCGGATTGTTTGATTTTTTGGCAAGCTCTCTGGCCTTGCACCCATGCAGCAGAGCAGAATTTGGCCTCTGGCACTGGAATCGGTTCTGACACCGCGGGCAGGCTCTGGCGGGCAGGCTCCCCAGAACAACGGTGGGAGCCGTGAAGCCGTCGCCTCCGATCCCTGAGCAGGAAGGGGGCATCCATGTGCCCACTCGGGCCCTAAAGGCAAACTCGTAGATCCTCTTGCGAGGCATCTCTCGCTGCAGAAAGCTCCTGGAGTGAGCCTTTCATGAGAGTAACTCTAAAAAAGGAGGAATTACGCAGGTGAGTGGTTTTCACTCTGGCATCAGCCTTCAGATCACAGCTCGCTGAGGTGCCCCTGCATCTCTCCTTGGGCTGCGGAGGGCCGTCACGCCGGGCTGTAACGCACCTGAGTGCCGGCGGCACTTCCAGCCCCGGGTGCCTGGAGCGCGGGGCTGCCGATCCGCGCGCCCCATGAGGCTCGCGCTCGCTCGCACGCACTCACGTGCTGCGGTAATGGTTTAATAGCAGCCCCACCCAGCCCAGCCAGAAGGACTTGCTGCGTAAGCAAAAGCAGGGAAATCTCGCCTCTGCGCGCAGCGCTCTGCGAGCGCTTCGCTCACTTTTTGGGAGAGTTTTTTTTATTTTTTATTTTTTTTTTAATTCCCTTCTGGAATCGCCGGTGCCAAAAGAAACCAGAAGGGACGGCAGCTGGCTCCTTTTGATCCTCTCTGCTCCTGCTGCTGGGAGGTGGCTGCGCTCCTGGTGTAGGGCTGGCCGGGGCGTCCCGCGCCGTGGCACCACTTAACGCTTCCTCTCTTGGCAGGACTCGGAGTCGCTGGACGGTTGCATTCAGAGTACGTTATCGGCGCTCTACCCTCCGTTCGAGGCTACCGCAGCCACTGTGCTGTGCCAAGTTTTTGATGTGGTGGAGAAGACGTACCGTGGGGATGGACTGCGCTACCTCATAGACTTCCTGATCCCAGCCAAGCACATCCTGCAGTGCATTCAGCAGGATGCCTGTGTGAGTATATCCCGCTCTCTAAGGCCTGCTAGGGCTTCTTCAGAGCCTTCTTTCTGCTTGAGTACTGTAAAAAACCTGGCAAAAAAGTGCTTGCATGCGTGCGGCAGCCTAGGCGGGAGGAGGGCAAGGCAGACAATTCGGAAAGAGTTGAGAAATTGTTATTGAAAGTTAACCTTGCCGAGCTCAGATGTGGAGTGCTGCCCTTTCTTTCCGTAACCTGAAACACTAAATGGGAGGCTTTTGGGAGACTTAGCACAGCCTAAGCCTCCCCGTTTGCTGCGTAGGGCTGAAGCGGGTGGCTTCTGACCCCAGCCATTCCCTGGCCGTGGGGATGAAGCTGGCAGGAGGACGCTGGCAGGAGGCTGCGTGGGGCGAAGTGCTGCCAGTCGGTGTTTTTCCCAGAAGCCTGGCTCCCCTTTGATGGTTGCTGGAACGGTCGCAAGGCTCGGTAGCCCCGAGGAGTCACGTTACGCTTACTGCCAGAGCGAGCCCAAGATTAATGGGCTTTACTGTCGGGAGGCTTAAATGTTAGAAACGATGAGTCAAATGCCTCCATCACAAACTTGGCTCAAAGCTTGCGTGATTAAAAAAGAAAAGAAAAGGGCGGGGGGAACACCACCACCCTACGCCTAGGGTTTGTTCTAGCTTTTTTTTATCTTTGAGTGTAGAAGGTGGATGTGGCCAGGTTTCTGATAGACCTCCTCATGGCAGGGGACTTTTGGGAGGAGGAAAAATAAGTAAGTACGAGCTGAAATCCTCATTTATTTATCTGAAAGAGGTGAAGTGCTGAGGAGAACACCCCTAGCATTTGATGGATCCAGGTAACAAAGCATGGGAGCTGGGGTTGGATCGTCCCACGAGCTGTGTGTATGCACATTTTGGTAATGAACTGTGTTCATTAGAACAGGGATTCCTCCCAAGGTGTCTGCACAGCTGCTGTTTTTAACGCCGTGACGCACATTGTGGCGTTCCCTGTGAGAAACAGGAGGTTTGGGGTTTGTGTTGACTAGTGATTACTGCAGGACGGTTCATGGCTTTCCCCTGCCTGCCTCCCTCACAGGGTCACTGGGCAGGGAGAATGGTGCTGTGCCCCCTTCGTCCCCGTTTTTTGGGGATGGAGGGGTTGGTGGCAGGGCTGGGGCCAGCATTGGGGCTGGGGCTGGAGCCCTCGCCTGCCTCAGGCCATGGCCGCCCTCAGGGGGAGGCCATGCGGGGCTGGGGTGGTGGTGGTGGTGGTGGCGGTGGGCGGGCCTCGGCCTGCCCAACAGCCAATGGGAGGAGAGCTGAGGGCTGCGGCAGCCAATAGGAGCGCGGAGATGCCTTGATGGGCATGAGGTGGTGGGACGGGGGCGGGAAGCCCTGGGGCGGGAGGGCTGAGGCGAGGCTGTGAGGGCAGCGGGGCCTGAGGGGGCCCGGGGCAGGCGAGGTGAGGGCTCGGGGGGTGCTGTGAGGGCTCGGGGGGTGCTGTGAGGGCTCAGAGGGGTGCTAGTGAGGGCTCGGGGTGGTGGGCTGTGAGGGCTCGGGGGGGCTGTGAGCCCCCCCCGGCCCTAACTGACAATTTTGTGTTTCAGAGCTGGCGATGCAGGGAGAGTGAGGAGAGCTTGAGGTACCTTGTGGTGTCTTTAGAGCAGGGCCCTTCATATTTCCCTTTATACTTCCCTTTCCCTTTGAGTTTTTATTACTGAAACTTATTTCTTGCATCCTGCGGGCCTGTTCTCCCCAAAACCCCTTGCTGTCTCAACTCTCAGGGCCGTTTCTTATTACTTGTTCTTTAAAAGTTCTCTCTGCCTTTTCCAGTGTAAACAAAAGCAGCGTTCCCTCCTTAGCTTTCATTCAGCGTGCCCGTGTGAGCTTTGCCTCAGCACACTAAAGGGCAAAAAAATAACTGCTGCCTGAATGGCTGCTGCAGGAAATACTGAGAAACCTGCATCTCTTCCTCAGTGACAAAAATGTGAGTGGCTTCGTGAAATATTAGATGTCTTCGTGGGCTTCTGGTGGGCATAACAAACCCAGCAGTGTGTGACCCCAGGGGCTGGGGAGGTGAGGGTGTGCAGGGCAGTGCCAAAGGGCCTGTCCCTGCTTAGAAACCAGGTTTTGTTATGGGCCTTCAGATGACATCCTGGGCTAAAAGGACCTTTGCAACATCTTTGTCATTGGTGACCAGTTATTTCCTAAAAAGCAGCATCCTTTTTTTTTTGTTTTTTCCTTTTTCTAAAAGGCAGCACAGAGTCAGGCGCTGGCGCTCCTCTGCCCAGCCTGGGTTGGCTCTGGCAGTGGACACGAGATGAGCAAGTACTTGAGCCTCAAAGTGAAATGTTAAAACAACTGAAATAAGCCTCTTTGTGTAATCTCTTTGAAGGTGCTTTTTGGAGCAGGAGCATGAGGATGCGCCACTTCTAAAGCTCTGAGCCTCTGAAACGTTTAGGCAGTGGAAGGACTTACATTCCTGCTTGGGTGTTAATCTAGCTCTTGCTGCAGGTTGGGTGGTAGCTTTGCAGGTTTGTCAGGAAGTTCTGAGAGCTCCGTGTTTTGGGTTTGGTGATTTTACTGCTGAGATTTCTTCCACTTGTTTGTCAGCAGGCATGCGGGTCATCTTAGCAGTGGGGTTGCCACATTTCTTAATGGGCAAACGGCTCCCAAATAGGTTACTCTGCATCCAGGTTTTAACAGAAACTCTTTGTGTCAGGTAGGTGCAGATGGGATCCAGCTTTATGTTCATGCTGCCAATGAACCTCTTGCTTTTCACGTGTATAAACTATTTGTAATAGTTTGAGAACTGATCTTTTTTTTGTCTGCTTCCCCTCCCCAGATGGCATTAACGTACCCGGTAGGAAACATTCTGATGGCAGAAGGGTTGATGTGGTGCAGTGTGCGAATCTGTAGTCTCTTCTGGAAAACTGCAGATTATTTTTTTTGCTTAAAATTTGATGAACAAAACACTTGGCACTTCTGTAGGAGAGAGAAGCTCGTTGGCTGAGGTGCTGTGCGAGTCTTGAGCTTGATGGAAAAGTGAGTGAATTATGTACTGCTTGAGAATTTCTGAAGCCAGCAACAACTTCTGGAAACTGTGTGGTGTTAGAGGAGGTCTTGATTTGCAGAATTCAACCATGCTGTATAAGAAAGGGACTGGTGGAGATACCTGTCTGGGAGATCAGAAGGCATGAGGATGTAGCAAAGCTCACCTCTGCTTGATTTGGAGGGAAGTGTAGGCAACCTATGTTAAGTTGTAGGGTTTTTATTAAAATCAATTTAATAGAGAAAAGAAAGGGAGGCAGATCTGCTTGGTGTTCAAGGTTAGGATATAAAGCTAATATTAAGACGATCCTCCAGACTAAACCAAGTCTTATTTTGGTTTTATTTTGTAGTAACACGGTACGTGGGTACAACAATAGGACAGTTGGTTGTACTGAGAGAACAGAGGAAAAGCTGCCATGACTGAAATGGTTCCAGATAGGAGTAAGTTGAAGAAAAAGGACTGGCTGATCTCCCTCCTGGAATATGGAAGAAGTTAGCACATAAAGCTTAGAACAGGGATTTTTATTGAACCTGTTAAGGCAGGGCTAGTAACAAAGCACAGAGAACAAGATGAGCATGCAACAGCAGCAGTCACTGAGCACTTGAAGGAATTAAATGACCCTTTAGAAATCGGATAACATTTTTTCATGTGGTTTGTTCCATGGCAGGTAGCGTTAAGACCAGCCTTTTCCATCAAACAGCCGCTGTCTAGAGAGAAAAGTTTGGTTGTTTAATCTCTTCCTTAAAGGATTTATTATGGAGTCATCTGGAAAATTAATTACTGTGTCAAAGGGATGGAGGCTTGTGCAAGCATTGCAAGATGGGCAGCAAGCTGGTGAAAGGAAGGATGCGTGTACTGCAGTGAAAGCTGAGTTGGAGGCAGGAGTCATGAGACGCGTATTACGGCTCATCCATGACCTTGGCATAAAAAGTAAGAGTATGGAGATGACAAATTTGTGATGAAACGAGGCTGGGAGAAATGAGCAATAACAGGAGGAGGAGGATAAATGTGTTACACAAGATGAGGTCTGAAACTCCGTGCTGGAGTTTGTATAATGGGAGAGTCAGAGGGCAGGCACGTGCCTCGACAAAACCAGAGACAGAATTCCTGTTGTGATCTGGGGTTCGTCAATTTGGGAAGAAAAACCAGCAGGTGACTGGGTTACCGAAGGGGCATGAGGGGAGGACGAGCTTGAGCATAGCTTTAAGGAGCGAAGTGCTTCTAGCCCAGTTGGGAAGTGTTGCTGCCATTGTACCCGGCGTTTTGCAAGGCTTTGCACAATTAAAAAGTGGGACAAAGAAGTGTTAAAACGGCATCACCAAGGAGGCGCTTCAGGCAGGCCTAAGAGATGATTAAGGGAGATGTGTTAAGGTGATGTGACATTACTTAATAATTTTAAGTGATGAGAATTCATCAGGGGAACAAGCTGCGGGGATGAGGAGGAGGAATTACCAAATCTGAAGAGTTGAGCAGGTGCAGTGGGGATAAGAAACCCGTCTGGCTGCACACAGGAAGTAAATTGATGCCATTACCTGTTGTTTTGACGTGTGTGAGGATCCATCCCGGAGGTTCCTTCCAGTTCTGTGGCCTCTTTGCTGTATGGCAAATTATTTGAATTAAAGAATTTTTCTTTAATCTGTCTGGCCTGCGGAATACAGCATTTTTATAAATAGCTTCCTTTGTCAAGACTTCCATGTGACCCTGTAAGAAGAACAAGATAAAATATCTGAAGTCAGTGCTGCCAATACTAACATGGATGGGTTTCTAGGTGTCAGCTTTCTAATTTAAGGATCACATCCCGCACAGGGGAGTCCTTTCTAAAACCTTGTCATGTCAGAGAAGGATGAAATTAATCATGGAACTGAAAATGAATGATTGCTTATGTCATGGCTTGATTTAAGCCCTACTTTACCCCAATGGAATCAAGTTCAAAGCAGTAATTTTATTTTTTGAAGTTGTGATAAAGCTGTAAATAATCGAGTCAAGTCAGTTCAGCCATGAAACTGCAGTTCTTTTACTCGGTTGGGAATTGTCTGACGTGTGTCTTGCTTGATGCTCAGAGACCTTACTTTTATTTAAAATTAAAAAAAAAATGTGGTGGGGCATAGGCTGCCCTGATTGCTGCTCTGCTTGGGAACGAGGAAGGATTTCTAGGAAGCTTTAAGAGTAATAGCACTGGGCCCTTGTTTAAGAGTAAATGGGACGTTGGCCAACCTGTTGTGGGTCTAGGGAATTAATGGAATGCCTATAACAGGACTTCTAAATGTAAAGGTAGAGGAAATGCTAACAAGAAACATCCAAAACACGACTATAAATTAGAAAACGTAACCGGGCAGGTATGTGCCTAGCAGCCACCTGCAGATTTTGCCTCTTAGCTCTTTGGTAACAAAAATATTGAATTGCTAACCTGAACCAAAATAGTGATTGATTTTAAAATCTGAAGATGATTCAGTTTCTGGTGGGAGCTCTTAGAAGTAAAGAACATCGCTGACATGAAGCAGTACCTGGATGACGAGGAGGGCAGGTGCAAAACGTGTGTTAAGTGGATGGGTAGGAGGAACACACAACACAGCTGAGTCCTGGGGTCAGCAACCCCGCCGGGAAGCAGCAGGTGCAGGGCTGCACGGCTCAGTTTTGCAAAATAACCACATCAAGGATTATCGGGTAGGATGAGGGAAATTGCTCTTTGTATGGGAACTGATCTGCGCGTGAAGGCTGCCGGTGGTAAACTGGACACAATTCCAGCTGCCCTCCTCGTCATCCCGGTCTGCTTTCCTCATTTGCTGCTTCCTTTCTCCTGCTTTCTCTTAGCTGTCTCTTTCCATGCCCAGGGGCATTGCAGCTTGGTTTCCAGCATACCCAGTGCCACCTGGAGCTCGCTGTGGATGCACTGGGAGCGGTGCAGGCTGTTCGTCCACCTGCTGTGGGAAGGCTGCGGATGGCTTTCAGTTGAGGACGTTGGTTTTTGAATTCGCTGCTGTCAGCCTGCCTTTCGCTAACAGCACGTGGTTAGGGGTGCTCTGTGGTCTGATTCTTCACTTTCTCAGTATATCCAGTTCTTAATGAGGCAGAAATGAGGTAAAGAAGGGGTTTTGTGGGCTGGAGCACCGGGAGGGGAGAACTCCTGACCTTTCTGCCTTGGGGTTCTCTGTACTGTAAAATAGGGTTGGTGCTGCTGGCAGGTGGTTGGTCCTTATTCAGCTTCTGATTTGTCTTGGTAGCTTCTCTTGGTTCTGTTTTATAAGAAAACCTCACCAAAGAAAACTTGTGTACACTAATCGCCAAAGACCCTAAATTCAGCTACGCTATTGCTATAGCAGGGCTGTACAAGAGAAGCGTGAGCTCTCCTGTCCAAAAGCCTGAGCTGAGATTTGTTCCTGATGCTGACAACTCTTTCTCTTTTCCCCCTAGGTTCAGTACTGTGGCTTGCTGTTTCGCCACGAGGGCTGGCCCCTGTGCATTCACGAGAAGATCGTAGTCCAGCTGGCTTCCATTGACTGGCGAATCCTGAAGCCTGGTGACTTCTACCTGCAGGTGGTTCCCTATCTGAAGAAGTCTCCACGGATTGTATTGAAATGTCTGGCGAAGGACAAGCATAATGTAGAAGAAGTTGTGATTCCAGAAGTCTCCTATACCTCTATTTTCACTCTGGAATGGTTGAGCACTATCAATGGAGAGCGGATGGGTATAGCACTGGAAAATTGTTTACTAACCACTGACGATAAGATATTTCGTGTTCCCTGGGATAATGTGGTTAATCCTGAATTTATAAACAAACCAAAAGTAATTGAAAATAATATCATCACTCCAGAAACAGCAGAGGAACCTTCGGCTTTGTGCCTCCCTATGGACCATGCTGAGCGCAGCTCACCAGACCTAGAATCTCAGTATCTACAGGAACCAAGTCCGAATAGGGACAACCTGGTTAGCAGCCCAGCTCCACAGTTAGGTGAAACTCTTGTCAATGGTGTGTGTACAAATGCTGTGCCTGAAGAGGACTTGAAAAGTGACATTGAAGGGGAGTACGTTGAGCTTGCAGAAGTTTCGCTGCCCTGCTTTGGGCCACAGACAGGCTCTTTAACCCAGTCAGTGCCTTTAAGTTACCTGACTCAGCCCAGGACACGAGTGAATGCATCTAAAGGCAAGCACAGGTTTATTGTCATTCAAGACAGCACCTACTCCAAGAACTTAATTCAGCCGGCACTTATGCAAAAGGAGCGCTGTCAGATGGACGCTCTGAGGACTTCTACAGAAGTTCTCAAAAATGTAATTCCTGTGGAAAGCGACAGGATGATGGCCCATGAGGAACTGTCTCCAGAAGGTCAGCTGCTGTCGGGTGGCCCTGGAAGCATGGGGAACAGCTCTCCTGCGGCTGCATCTCCTGCCTGTGGTGCAGAAGATTCCTCCCCTGCAGAGCAGGAGACGTGCAGCGAGCACTCCATCGACTGGCGGTACGCGCTGTGCAGCTACAGTGACGTGTGTGCCGGAGATGGTGCCAGCTGCAGAGCACAGATGACTGGTTCTACTGGAAATATGCAAGTGGAAGGCGATGGTCCTAGCAGAAATCCTGGTGTTGATGTATTGGAGCAGAGCCCAGAAACAAAGCTAGATGCTGCTGCTGAAGAGGGCATTCAGAAGGGACATGGAGAACCACTGGCAGAGTGTCAAAGTGAGGTGACACAGATGGATTCCTCTCCTGTGTCTGGCCCGGGGCCTTTGGGACCATGCTGCACGCTGAAGGAAGATCCTGGGATTTCTTGGCAGAGTGTTGGTGAAAGCACCGCACCGGTCCAGGCCGCTGCATTGCCTGTTGTGCCTGAGAGTGTGGATTTAGGTGTGGGGAGAGGCTCTCCTTCAGGGAGCGTGACAGATGCTTGCTGTGGTGATCAGGAAGAGAATACGAGTTCTCCGTTAAATCCTCCAGAACAGATGAACCAAGGAGAAGCAGATGAAGAAGAGCTGGGAAGAAGAGAAGGCTCTGAGGAAGTCAAAGAGATTGAACAAACGCTGGCTGTAAATGGGAATGAGACCAGCCACAGCTACGGCACTGTCAGAGCTCCTGCGGGTGGGCTCCTGGCAGATGGAAAAGAGCAAGAGGTCTCTGCTTGTCAGCACAAGAAAGGTGAAGAAGCCGTGCTACTCCCAGCTGCTCTGTCAGCAGAGAGTGAGGAGGTGGCAGGGCAGTTGGATACCAGTGACCCTTCGGTGGGTCTTGACGCACAAGCAGAAAGCTCAAGTCAATGCAAAACCCTCCTGTGCGGAGAGAGGCGTGAGGAACAGCAAAGATGGGCAGAAAACCAAGGCCATGGAAGTGAAGCGAGCTCTGTGCTGAACCCAGAGTGCGTTGCAGCACAGGACTTGCAGGGAGGGGAGGAGAACCAGGGAAGTTTTTGTGATGGGGAAAAGTCCAAGACTGGAGCCTTAAAAACACTGGAATCCATTACGGAGGAGCTGGAGGTTGGACCATCGTCCTCGGGGCCTGCTGAGGGCAACCCGGAGCCCACCGCTCTGCAGTCCCACCACGAGGCAGTTCCTGGAGCGTCACCTCCTAAAGGTACAGCAGGTGGGTGTTTGTGTGCTTACCTGGTTGGGAACAGGTAGAAAGCAAAGTCCTTGGGAGCTACTGCTGACAAATCCGGTCTGCTTGGGGGTCATAGCACAAACTGCAGGGAAGCTGTCATTTTTCATGGCTCCAAGTTAGCTTTGCCCTCAGAGCTGGGTTTAATGTAGTATTTTGCTCAACAATTGTCTGCATATTTGCGTTTTTTTAGAAGAGTTCTGGCGTAAGGGATTTTTAATTTCAGTTAATCTGCTTGCTGGTGACCTCCACCCGTTACATTCATCGTGTGCAAGTTATGGATGCACAATATAGGCGTGTGTGAGAACATGCTGGCCGGCTGTGCAGGTCTGTCGTGGTTGAGCAGTGCCTGTAGGAAGGGAGCTGTGGTGCAAGGAAGGAGCAGAGGATGGCCCAGTGAAGTACCAGCTACAGGACATGGCCTGAGATCAACAAATCTGCACGCTGGCAGCTGGTGTGCAAGAGGCGAACTGCAGAGCTGAGGGATTCCCCACCATCTCCTTCCCTCTCTCCTTTCCCCTCTGGCATGCTTCTGCCACCTTGGTTATCTTTCAAGTAGGAGCTGTTTAACTTGAGTGGGAGAGCTAATATTAATTTTTCAGGTGGGAACACAAAGGCACAGAGAAATTCAGGTCAAACGACAGGTTCAAGCAAGTACCGCTCAGCCTTCTTGATGCCTGGGCTTCCGTGCTGGAGCTGTGGCCATACAGAAGACCTTAAACTGTCGGTCTGGGTCTCTGCCTCTCGCACCGGGCTGCAGGCAGTGCTCAGAGCCTCCCCGCCACGCTGCTGGCTCTGCCTGGCTCTGCTGAGCCTGGAAGCTGTCGCTGGGTAGAGACGCAGATCGCATCGAGAAGCGCCTGCGTGGCGGGGGCGGCTGAAACGCGCCCTTCCAGTTCAGCAGCTCTCCTCACCGGGACCCCTGGCTAGGAAAATTACCCGGTGAAATAACAGAGCGAGGATGCTCGGAAGGGTTGGAGGTGTGCAGCTGCACATCGCCAGGGCATGTCCGACCCTGCGGGGGGATAGCAGCCGCTGTGGCACCCCCTCTTGGGCTGCTCGATTGTTAGCTTGTGCAGCATCCAAAAGTCCCATTTGATCCGAGGCCTTAGTGGGACCTAACGGGGGAGCCCAAGCCTCCGTTGGTTATTAGGAAGCTTTAGTTTACACCCACGCCAAGGATGTTAATTGTGCAATTAGGCAGGCCTGCTGTTGCCGAGCATTTCTGATACTTCTGCAGCCACGAGGGTTTCTGCTCGGTGGGGCGGAGGGGTCAGCTCCAAAGTTCCTGGTCATGAAGAGCGCGTCCGTCTGAGCATCCAAAACCACGAGCAGCAAAATGAGGTCACGCTGCCCACCCACAGCTCCTGGGGGATGTGTGCCAGTAAATGAGCGTGCTGCGGGATCCGCAGCGTGAATGAAGCGTTCTGCGCCAGCCCCACAGCAGGTATAGGGTGAGGGCATTTCTGAGTGAGCTGAAGCTGGCCTGGACTCCGTGCTCACACAGGACTGGACCTCAGAAAACCTTGGCGGGGTGGAGGGCAGGCTGCATGCTCCCCCTGTGACTCCCGTGGCTGCTTGTTCTGCGTTCCCATCCCTTCTGCCTAAAATTAGCCAAGTCCAGCTGGTGGATGAGATAATAAGTGCGATGTTCTCGCCGCTCCGCAGGACAAGTCTTGGCTGCTGCTGTGGATTTCAGCAGTGCCGGACCCCTCCGGGGCACGTGTGGAGCTTGTTTTTAGTGAGAGACAATTTAAACGTTTCTGGGGATTTGGCTGAAATCAGCGATGTGCTTGTGGCCTGATTCCGATGGTGTCAAGCTGTGGCACTGCCATGAAGACGACTTAGCTGAGTCTGCACAACAAAAGAAAAAACCTAAATTATTAGAAAGTCCCCAAACAACTGTGTAGGGCATAGGGCAGCTGAAGTACCCGTTAGCACTGGGAGTATTTCTTCTTACAGTCCCAGCTACAGTGTTTAAGTTTAATCTATTCAATTACGTTAGATTACTTTGAGATCCAAACGAGTTATTCATCTCCCTTTATCTAGCCCCTTTAAACCCTCACAGACACCATAATAAGATAATTCAGAGATAAAATTACAAAGTGAAGCAAACGTCCCGGGCTCGGTCCTACAAAAGCGCTTTCCTCTCGCAGGCGCTCAGTCTGTGGGCGCGTTGAGTCCTCGGTCACCGGCTCGTGTCGGGGTCCTTTTGCTGCTGCGACTGCAGACGGTGCTTATCTCGCCCTATAAATAACAACCAAGCCAGTTTCTAAGTGCTGCTGGCCCCGTTCGGATCCCAGCTCACACCTCGGTGGGCAGCCGCAGGGTTTGTTCTCTGGGGGGTCTTTGTCAGCTCGCGCGTTAAAGCAGGTGCTGGTGATTGTATCAGAAAACGCTTCCAGAACTGGGGCATCCAAGTTTGCTGTGTCTGCAGATTTCTCCTGATCCCTCAACTCTCTCCCCTTCCTCCCACTCCCGTTCACAACCTGAGCTTATTTTCTGCACAAACAGTGGCCTGGCTTAGAAAGCTTTTGAGGCAAATGTGGCCCATTTCGAGTTGGTGGCTTAAACTTTACGCTGGTTCCATATACAGAATATCTGACTGCTGCTTTGCCCTAAAGACTGACTCTAAATGGAAGCGAATTTTCAACCTTTGCAGCTCAGGAAAAGAAATCCTATATTTAGGGGTGGGAAATAACTTGATCTTCAAGAAATCAGCTGAAAAGTCATGCTGGGGCATACTCGGTAGCACCTGCTGGGGCGTTCCAGCCCCGCTCCATGTTCCTACGTGGTGTTAGCATAGATGAGATGGGTGCCGGGGCAGTTTGCAGGAAAAATGCTAATGTCTCTTTGAAATGCACGCAAGCAAATCATCCTCTACCGCTTCCTTAACCTCGGGGAAAGGTGGAACCTGCAAACACGGCAAATTCAGACAGCCCAGTTCTCCATTTGCTTTTTGATGTAATCCTCCGCATTCGACAATTTCCGCTTCAGCAAGTGCCTCCGCCCTGGATCGCAAGGAGCACGGTGAGCTCGGGCCTGCTCCGGGACAGGTGGGGTCTGCAGCTCCCCCTGCACCCCTGGGGCTGTGTCTGGTGGGCTGAACAAAAGCCCTCTGGGTTCGGGGAGCTGCTGCTTGCTTCCGAGGAGAGCTCTGAGACAGGGCTGCCCCATAAAGTTGTCTTTCTCTTGTTTGGTGTGGTTCCTTCAACGCAGCCGTGCTCCCTTTCTTGTCTTCAAGTGTCACCTTTCGGTTCTCTTCGCAGGCTTTCTGCATTTGGTGCAAATTCCTTGGCTGCAAGTGGCCTGTGAGCTTGCTGCCGGGCTGTACAGCTCCCTGAGATGTTCTCCCCCCTTCATCCAGCCCTTAACATGAAACATTTGGGGTTTGATTTATTTGCCTTGGTGCTACCCCAGCCATGGGGGATCTGCGCCCCTTGGAAACACCCCAAAAGGAAGATCTGGAAGCGTTGTCCAAAGCGAGTGAGCTCCTGCATTACAGGAAAACTGAGGCTGAGGAGGTGTCAGGAGCAGAACTGAGCCCTGATGTGTCCCGGAGCGGCGCAGAGGCCTGGAGCCATCAGCCCAGCTTACGTGGCCAAACACAGCAGGCGCCAGGCTGGGTCCTGGGGTGCTCCCTGAGATTACCGGGGCTCTGCAGCGAGCCCTTGTGGCTCTGGAGCACAACCCTGGAGCCCCTTCTGGCTTCCCCCCCCATGCTGGGTATTTTTGCCCAGCGAGCCGCGCTGCTTGGGGCACTTCTCTTACCCACTTGAGCAATTTTGGAAGCAGTTGGGGCTGAGCCTCAACCTGTAAATCTCCTCCGCTGCTAAAACTTGTATTGAAAGCCACTTCAAGGACTGCTTTGTTCCTCGTCCTGCTCTTTAATGAAGTATTGGAATCTGTTGGTAAATAAACTGAGTCAAGTGTCAGCATTGTTGATGCAGCAGGAAGGTAGGATGGTTTGAGCCAATTTCACTGTAGCAATTAAGACGTGTGACTTCATAGCGAGCACATAAATACGCCACTCTTTCATTTCCATAACGAGAGGGGGTTTTTGTTGGGAGATATCGAAGGTGCCATGGCTTGCAGTGAAATGTAGCCTTTTGTCTCCAGGGAATCCCTCTGCCAAACAGTAGGACAGCCTGGCTGTGGACCTCGGATCCCAAAGACATGTTGCTGGCTTTTAATTCTTAGCGTGCTGGGAAATGGGGAATAATGCTTCTTCCGTAGTAGGTAGACTTCTTCTCTCCATCTGCCTTTCCATGAAAATTGAAACCCAAAATGAGGGGAAAGCTGGCGTTACTTTGTGTGCAGTAATTAAGATTAAACTCGGAATCAGATGAAAGTGATCAGTTGTTTTCCGAGCTGAAGTGTCAGGGATAGGAAGCGTTTTCTCCAGTCCCCAAACTGAGCTGATGGGGCCAGTCGTTCCCCTCTTCAGGGCTTAAAATAGGTTTTTGCCTTTCACATTATCTGTTAATTAAAAAACCCTGGGAGAGCTGAACAAGGTCTCTTGGCTGGCTAATTCCCAGCTTATTTGTCAGCCTTGGGTTGGCTTTGCCTTTTCAAGAAGCAATCTGCAAGCGGTGTCGGGGGAGTCACTCTGCTCTGGTGGAGCAGCTCTCCCTGGCAGGAGCTGGCTTATCGCCTCGGTGTGCTCGAGCTGCTGGAGCTCAGCCAGGGGCTCGCACTGCTCCAGACTTCGGGGCTGCCAGCAGACACGTACAGCTCGGTACGGTACCTTTAGAAGCAGGTTTGAGTACAAGAATCTCGATCTGAAGTGAGTTTTTATAACTTGCAAACTTGGTGATAAACTGCTCCTTTTTTTTTTTTTTTTTTTTTCCTTTGCTGGAATCGCTGTAAGCGTTCGTGTTCCAACTGGTTTTGGAGCAGGCGTGCTGCTGGCACGAGGACTGGAGGAGCTGCGGGGCGCTGGGGCTGGGGGGCACGTCCCTCCCTCCCTCCCCAGTCGGGGATTTACCTGGGCCCTTTTGGGTGGAGCTGTGCTTGAGCTTCTGCCTGCTGCTTCTCTTCCAGGGATGGTGCTGGAAGGGGCAGAGACGGCAAAAGAAACGACTGGCACGGCTGCGTCGAAGCCGGCGGGTAAGGTCTGCACCCCGGAGGAAACCTCAACAGCTGCTGTTCCCCCCAAATCCCCGGCTTCTGGGGCCGCCTGGGGTGGCCGGCCTGCGCCTTCCATAGTCAAGGATGTGAACCCAGAGGTGCTGAGGAGCGGGGTTGCCTGCCTGCCAGGTGAGTAGCCGAGCCACGACGCGTCTGGGCAGCGGGGCTGTGGCAGGGCAGAGCAGCCGTGCCGCATTTTCAGGGCTGCAGCGCGGTGCCAGTCCCGCTCCTTTCACCCCGAGCCTCTCCAGAAGCAATTTTCTAAAGCTTCTGAATGGGAAGGGCAGGAAGTAGGACTTCCCTCCCATGAAAGTCATGTTAACTTGCTCCAAAGAGTCTTAAAACGTGAACAAAGCATGCGTGAGTCAGACGTGCCGGATCTGCGGGCTCATAGCAAAACGAGGAGAGTGAGGATGCAGCTAATGACGGGCTGGTGGGCCTGACATCAGACCCGGTCACAACAATAGGAACTTGATTCACTCGGTAGATAATTAAAGGACGAGAGTGTCGAAGATGCTATTTGACAGGGCTCTTGTAAAACCAGTTTTATTTAGGTAATTAGAAGATTGGGTTGATTTAAGCGTAGCTGCCAGGGGAGAACAGATTTCTACAATACGTTTGATTTCATGACGCACGGCGTTGAAAGGAATATCCCGATGCAGCGTGGATGAGCAACATGTGGGATGAACGATAGCGTAGCTGAATAGCAGATGACAAAACTAGCTATCAAGGGGAGGACTTCCCAGAATTGTTCTGCTGAGATCAGGGGTAGGTCAAACATTATTCACTGGTTGTATCTGATATGGCAGCAGATAGCAAATTGCTGCGGATAAAACGTCTTCTGGATGGGACAAAGATTGGCAGAGCGGTAAACAGAGCCCAGGCTGTTGGACAGAGCAGCCAGGATCGCTTGGAGCACAGGGCCCAAACAAGAAGTCTTTTGTGTTTAACTAAACATTAATCTAAACAGAGGAAGTGAGATCTACCTCTCCAGTGAGAAACAACCGTTGGGCAGCATCTGCTTCAGCACCCCTGTGGGTTTGCTTCCTCTTATCCAGCGTGGTTCAGGGAGAGAGCTGCATTTTGCTAGCTCGGGAGGCATTCATGACTTGAAAATTGCCCCGAGAGTGGAGGAGAGGCCAGGCAGAGCTGTGGGGGCACTGGGAAGGGGAGCAGAAAGGCAGCACAGTGGCGATCCTCCTTGGTGCTGGGGCTGCAAGGCCAATTTTGCCCCCAGATGTGTAAAGAGGAGGGAAGGACTAGTCAGGTTAAGAGGGGTTTTGTCTCTGCCTGCTTGGTGATGCCTCCCAAATAGCTTGGGGTGTTCTGACGTCCAGAGGTGGCGCAGCAGAGGGAGGCAGCGCCTTATTGCAGCTGAAGGGGATGCCCCATGGTGGGAGGCTGGAAGCTTTGTTAATCTCGTAAGGGGATTGAGGATCAGGTCAAAAAAACACCTTTTGTGTCAGAAGGAGAAAAGGGAAATAGGGCTGCTCCAGTCTTCTGGGCAACAGTGGGGTGAGAAACCAAGAGCAGGGCAGAGTCACAGTACCTGCAAGCACATAACTTAGCTCTGGTAGGTAGGTAGGTTTGTTATTCAGCTTGGACACTTCCACGGTGTGTATGCCAGCCAAAAAATTCCGGGGTTCATAGCAGAACCCGTGGCTGTTGCTGCAGAAGAAGCTCGCTTGCATGATGTGCTGCTCCAGCGTTGTGCTGTATGGGAGGAATCTGTGACAAACATTAAGTCAGATGCCTTCAGATGCGGGGTGAAGGGCTGTGCATTTGAAGTGCATGGAAGAAATGAGGCTTGGGCGTGGTGCCGCCTCCGAGGGAGCTTTGGCCTCAGAGAGGAGGGACGTTCCCTGCGGAAGCCGTACGTGCTGGCTCTCCCCGAGGACTGCCCACTGAAATGCAAAAGGAGACCCCCGAGGGAACGCGTGCAGCACTCAGTTAAATGCTACAGGTTAGACATCGGTAATGATACGATAATTACATTAGAAAGGATAGGTTTTATGACAGGCAGAGAAGAAGGAGTGATTAATAGACTAGGAGGTGATGGAATTGGTAAGAAATTTTCCTTTCAGGAGCGTTTCATGCTGGTATTCTGCTCCTGAATCATCTGGTTGTGTCACTGTCAGAGACCTAGCCCTGGTGGCTGTTGCTTTTTTGACCTAGTCAGGTAACTTCCTAGGCTCCTACGTGCTAATTAGAGGTTTAATCAAGTTCTGGTGATGCCCAGCCTCCCTGAGGGACAGAAGAGGATGCTTCAGTGCAAGGAGGCTTTTACTGAGACTGGTTATCATGCCATTATGCCTGTAACTGACTGCTTTGCTTTTCTAATTTGCTGATGAACCCCTTAGCTTAGGAAGCGAGGTGTAAGCTTTTCCTAATTCCTCTCCAGCTCTGATAATGCGGTGTTTCAGGAGTGCTACGACTGCTCCCAAATCACACAGACCAGCAGAGAGCTTTTGGCCCTGCTGTCAGACAGCCGGGAGGCAGACAGCCTGGCTGTCAGCACTGCCCATCTGTGCCTGTGGCCCTCGCTCAACTCACGTCCTAGCGGCAGGCTGGGCTCACACCAGGGCAGCGTTTGGTGCTTGGGGCTGTCCACCTGCACCCCCTGGACCTCTCAGCTCACACCTCCTGAGGACGAGGAGAGAAGTGGTCCAGGGCTGTCACCTCCTGGGGCAGGGAGCTCAGAAGAAGGGAGAGAGGCTTTGCTTTCCATAGGCCTTTGTTTTTGTCTCGTGCTTGGGAAATTTTTCCCCTATCTCATTCCATTTGTATGACAGGAAATGCCTTCTGTTTTTGTGAATTACTTTTCACACAATAGAGGTGTGGTCCCAGCCGTTCTGCAGCTCGCTTACCTTCCTGATGGGGCGCCAGCTCAGGGCGCTCTCTCCTGACCGCGCTCGCTCCGCGGCCTCGCTGCTTCTCCATGGGCAGAGGCAGCTCTGGGCCTCCAAAGCTGCGTGCCCGCCTGCTCCTTTCCTCTCCTTAGCATCTGCAGAGGGGCTCGGATGTAATTCCAGTCCTCCTCTCCATAGTTCTGTCACAGCTGAAGCCCAAAGCCGCAATATCACTTAGTTTGGGGAGTTCTCTCACCTGGCTGCACCTGGGTTTGGGCCACCTTTTGTCCCTCTTCCATCCCCGTCTGCCTTTTGGCAGGACAGAAACAGGGAGGTGGGCAGAGGACGTGGCCGTGATGGACGGTCTGGGGTCCTGTGTGATGCTGGAACACAAGTGGGTGTGAGGTCGTTTATCTTGAGCTTGAAATTCTTACTCATCTCCAAAGGTTGCGTTATCATTCGCCAGCTTCCGCCAAATTTGGTGAGGAATGTGAGGTTGGGTAGAAGAGAGCAGGCCAAATTTAATGCTGCCCAGAGAGAAGGACAAGGCAAAGCTCAGCTAATTCACTCTGGGGCAACGTTTGGATACTCCAGAAGTGTGTTTACAGCCCACCACGATGTGCAGCACAGACTGTGCCTAGCTCCGTGCAGCTTTCCCAGGAAGGTGATGAGGGAGGCAGCAGGGGAATGAGGCATTCACACCTGGAACCAGGCTCTGTTTTACATCCTTAAATGATGTTTGTTTTTTTTTTTTTTCCCCTCCCTTTACAGGTACCAGAGATAAATCGGGACGTGCAGTGGCGATAATCACGACGAGGAACACGATCTGGTTAAACCCCCACTGCAACACCACTGAGCTTGTGCGCCTCCTCCTGTACTTGCACAGCATTCCAAGGTTTGTGGCACTCGGGGGCTGACGGGGGGAGCTGCTGCCACGTCCGCTTGTCTTGTGGGGTGTGGGAGCTGCGGTGGGGAATGGACCCGGGTCCTGTTAGCCCAGGAAGCTGCTCCAGGCAGTCCCGAAATTGTACAGGTGGGGATCTCCTGCTGGGTGAGCTGCCTTGTGTTCAGCAAGCATCTTGGTTATTGTGTGTGCACCTTGCGCACGTGTGGATGGAGTTAGGTGTGTTCTGGATGTTTTTGTGTATTGCCACGGATCCAACCCGTTCTTGCTGTTCTTTGTTAGCTCAGAGAGCTAAATTTGAGAGCTGTGATGCAGTTGTGCAGCAGCTCCACGATGCAGCCTTGTGACATGCTGTTGGAAGGCCAGGACCCCAAGCTGAGAGGGAGGGAGGATCTGCAAGGGTTGTGGAAGTCTCGTTGACTTCTGTTGACCAACGTCCCCTCTTTTTCTCTGTCCTTGCAGACCCGAGTGCCAGGCTTTGGGTCTGACTGTCCTTGTGGATGCTCGTCGCTGCTCGCCGGTGCCTGCGCTCTTCAAGGCCTTCAGCATCTTGCAGGTGAGACTTGAGCTGTGACAAAGGAACACAACTGGGCTTGCTGTCTCGGTTGGATGTTCCATCTCTGACTGCTGTGCGTCTCCATCTGCCAGCTGGCTTTGGGAGGTGGAGTCAGGCACCCAGCACTGTCTTAGGAGGACGAGCTGGGCTTGCCAGGCTGCAGCCAAAGCAAAAAAATCGAGGAAATCAGAGAACACCCATCCAATGTGGCTTCCATCTCTGCTGAGAACCGTTCCCAAGTCGAAATGCTCTCATGAATTGTGCATGGAGAAGCCGCGTGAAATAGGCAGGGATTGTTGCTGCCGCAGGGAAGGGAGGAGGAGCAGCACTGCAGAGGGAGGGGAAGGGCACCGCTTGTCAGGCCAGGTGGAAGAGCACATGCAGCTGGTGATGTGGCTGCTGCTGAGCGATGGGAATCGGACGTGCTGTAACTCTAGACTGCTCCAGGTCAAAGGCTTTCTATCAATCACTGGGAAAACGAGTGGGTTGTGTTGCCCCTGCTCCCAGATCACTTCTGGCTGCTGTTATTAGAAAGCCAGAGGAGATGCTGGGTTGTAGTGATGACTAATCTTGTTGAAGCAGGTGTTCCTTTTAAATCAGAGCTCAGGTCTCCCAGGGCTCAAGCTCTGCAAACTGGAACGGGGCAACGTTTTAATGAGGCTGGTGTCTCTGGTTTATGTGCTTCGGTGCCACATCTGAGAGCTGGGGCTGAGTCAGAGCTCTGTCCTCCTGCTTCCTGGGCTGGGTGGAGCCGGGAGCTGTATCAGTGCGCTCGCTCTCTGGGGGCAAGGAGTTATCTGCTGCCTGCTCAGTCCTGTGGAGGTACCAGGCGTGCATCTTCTCTTTTATGTTGTGCCCACATGGCAGTGGGCTTGCTCGGGCTTCTGAGTGTTTCCACGTAGGTTGCAAGGTTGTGTTTTAGGGGGGTGATTTAGAAATCAGCAAGGTGTTAAAACAAAGTGTGCTTTCGGACCACTGCTGGGTCCTCGGTCTCGTAGAGCGGCAGGAATAAAGCGCTCCGAGCACTGAGCTTCCCATCTGAAACGGGGAGGGAGGAAAAGCTTTTTTTGCACTGCCTGTGCAATATCCTGCTGTGACGGCAGGTTGGCTCCGAGCACGGGGTAGAGCAACAGTTAGTTAGCAGGGAGTAATGTGCTGCAAGACAGGTTGCTAGAGCTGCAGGTAACAGCGACTGACGGAGGCTGATGACTCTGCTTGTGGTGTGCTGCTCCTTGCCCTGCCTCTCTGGCAGGCTGCACACAGGACCTGTCGGGCTGGCTCATCACCTGCTTGTGGCACCGGGGTAATCCCCTGGCTCCGCTGAGCAGTTTGGGGATCCTGAGCACTTACTCCTGGTCTACCCCTGTGTTCCCACAACACTGCTCTCCCCTGCTCTGAAATAAGGGCAGAGAAGTGTAGGGAACTGACTGTAAGTACAACGAGGCAGCTAAGCTTTCTAGAGAGCAGCCAGGTTTGCTGGGCAGTGGGTATGGGATCGCAGTCAATGTGCTGTGCTTGTAGGGTCACAGAACTGATGTCTCCTTGGGGTCATTTCTGATCCCTGACACATCTCTTATCCCTGGCAGACTGCCCCTGGAGAGCTCATTTCTTTGCTGCTCTGCTCTCTGCTTCAACAGGATTTTATTTACCTGGCTTTTGTGAAGCCTGCTGTGAAAATGTGGGTGGAATCTCTTCGGTGTGGAGATCCAGGGTTGCTCCTTCAGTTCTGAAGGGATGTTTTCCTCTTGACTCAGCAGTGAGGAGCACTTCACAGTGGATAAGCACCGATCAGATGACCTAATGCCAAGTCCCTTCCTGCTGCAGCTCTCGGGTCTGTTAACCCTACAGAGCTTCCCTGGGGAGGGAAGTCTTTCATCCCAGAGGTTCCTGGGATGTATCTGTCAGGCTGAAGAAACACCTCTTCCATTTTCCATCTTTCTGGAATGCACAAATATAATTTTTAAGTGCCCATAGACAACTTCTGGTGCCTGTAGGCAGCTTTCCTACAGCTCTGGGAGAGCCACCTTGTAAGCTGGTGAGAGCTTCTCACCCTCTTTGCCTTCAGTTGTCTTCTGCATGACTTTCCTCCCCATCCTCTTTCGAATATGGGCACTGCTGGCAGTCTTTCTGTCCCAGAGAGCACTGGGAGCAGAGGCAGAATAAAGTGCTGCAGCTAACCTGAGAAGAATTAGGAGCTGCTCTGGCAGCTCTGTACGGAGGAGGAGGAGGGAAGCGCACAGTGCATACGTGCTGCAAGAACAGATCGTGCCTGTTCCTGTGGGAAGCTGCATAATGATGCTTTGGAGCAGGATTTGTGCATCAGTGTGAAGCTTAACCCTGCTGCGTCTGTGTGCTGGACCAGAGGGCAGAAGCCTGTCCATGAAGCCAGTGGTACAGTAGCAGTTCAAAGCAGGAAATTTCTGTGTGCTCCTGGCTCTCGAGGGATGTGTTTCCAAGCCCTGTTGCTTCAGCAGTACGGAGGACCTTGGTCTGGTGTTAAAGACCAGGAAGCTCCCAATGCTCTGGTCTTGTTAGCAGAGGAGGCAAGAGATTGGGCAAAAACCTGCAGGAAAGCTGCTGCAGGTAGCATCCTGCTGCTTCCAGCTCTGCCTGCGTCCCAGAGAGCTTCTGTGAACTGTTCGAGTCCACTCGGGTGGATCCCTCAGGGCTGGATGAGTCTGGCTTTTCTTCAGCCGTTTAAAGAACAAATATGGTGAAAAATACCTCACTTTTCTGGAAGTATTTCTTTCTCTTGGACTGGAAAGCTTGTCAGGCTTCTCCCCTGACAGCTCAACTTGTGAATGGTTTTTCAGTTGCTATTTTCAGCAGCAACAAACAAGCAAATGAGTGTTTGGCTGCGGTAACCCTGTTACACCATCGCTACCTTTATCCTCTCTCCGATTGCACATCCCATGACTGCTGGAGTATAAGAGGGATTGTGAAATAATAAATTTCTTTAATTTTTAGAGTCATGACCTGGCTTGGCACTGTGGCTGGTTTTCATCCTTCGGTACTTTTTAGCAGACAAATTTAGAGCTGCATCCTACTGTACTTTTAGGCAAATTCAGTGCTGCTCACACAGCTGCAATGTCTCCCCATGCTCTCTTCAGATGAGCTTTAGTATTTACCTAATTCAGCCTAATTATGCAATACATTCTTTTTGGCCTTTTGATCAGTGTTCAAATAACAGTGAAAGTGTGAATGAAAGGGAGTTGAGACGGCTGAGAAACCTCTGCCTGTTTGGGGAGGTGTTTCAAGCTGGGACTTTTTCCTGCCTGTTCAAAAGGATCCTCTCTTAGCACTACAGAGAAACGTCTTCTCCTTTGCTCTGCAACCTCTGCTGCTGCCCGTGCTTGCAGGATTGGGTTGTGCTGGCGTTGTTTCTTAATTGCCACGCTGGGCAGCTCAGGCTCTGCGGAGCGATAGGCACCTGCCTCTGTGCTAGAACATTTATTTAAACAGGGCTTCCTTCTTGCCACGGGCTCCTGCTGTGCACGTTTCCTGCAGTGCAGCTCGAGCGATACCGAGAAGGATTTGTTGCCGGACAGGTTCAGAGATCTTTGCAGAGGCAAAAGACATCTCCGAGACATTTAGATGGGGTGGCTCTTAGTTAATCACACGGAATGACAGCTTCTCCTTGCTGTCCAGCTCCAGGCATCGTGTGTCTAGTGGGCCCTGTCGCCATGGTCTGAATGTTTCTGCTACGTTTCCCTGTTCCTGCTGTTGCTCTCTGCCTGTTTCTCGCTTCCCTGTAGAGTGCTTCTGTAATTGGAGAGCTGATCCTGGATCGCAGAGGTTGAACTACAGCTGCCAGACGTCCCTTGGGATGTCCAGATAGGAATTTCTGTTGGTTTAACACTAGCAACAGGATGCGAGTCCTTGATTGTGAGTTGGCAGTGAGTAAAGAGGAGATGACATTTTTTGGCACTGCGTGGAAAAAAGCTTCCTTTCGGTTAGGAGAAACGACCAGGGAAATTATCAAGAAAAAACTTGGACATTGCACATAATTCCTTTTAGTTATTTTTTTTTCCTCCCCCGACACGTCCTGGTGTATAAGGCTGCATTTTTTTAGTGTAGCCAGGACCTGACCTCTTTCATTGCTTCCTTAAATATTGCATTACTGGTTGATCTGAAGCAAACTACCTTCAGGATGTAGCCCTGGTGCTCTGCAGAATGGCCTCCCCGTTCCTGGTGACTGCCTTCCAGGCTTCCCCAACACCTTTGAAGGATAAAATCTCTGTACAAAGCTGATACGGTATATTCTCCTTAGCATTCTGAATGGATAGGTGATGGTTTTGCACTCTGTTCTCTTTCAGGACATGGATCCTCACTGTATTCATGGAGTACTGCTTCTGGTTGAAAGAGATCTGACTTTTCGGGTGGAGAAGCCAGCAGCAGGACAGGTAATGGAAACATTTGTCCAGCACTTGCTGGGGAGCTGTTGATTTCCTGTTCAACTCCAGGCAGCAAGTTCTCTGTCCACTCACACATGTTTATTCTCACATGAAATCTCTGTAGTTCTCTTTATTTTATGGTTGTGGTCTATTACGGGTGTGGTATTTATAGGGTTGTAAAGTTTATGCGAGCTGAACATATCTCTGTCACGCTGTGTTTATCGTTGAGTCCATCACCGACGTGTGTGCCGTAATTATGGCAGGCTGCTGGGGCCCTTGAGATGCAGGGGGTGTGCTGGGGGCACGGAGGAGTCCTGCACCACTAACGCAGATGCTTTTCATGCTTTTCTGTTAACAAGGGAGATAATAGTTGGTCAGGAGGAGATCACATTCCGCTAAATCCGGGGCTCCATCCTGTGAAGGTGCTTGTTGCTTCGCAGGCTTTTGCCTAGCTCACGTTCCCTCTCCTCGTAGCCGCTGCTGTCAGCAGCTGAGAGACTTCTGCAGGAGGGGGAAGAGGAGATGTGTGTCAGGTTCCCTTTGCAGCTGAAAAGGTTTGGGAAGACGAAGAAGGTGCTAACAGAGGGGGGAAGCTGATCTCAGCAGCACCAAACACCCCCACTAGAAGGAAACCTGCCTTGGTGTTCCGCAGCTGTACACGAAACGCAGGCTTTCAGCCTCTCATTGTGGTGAGCGAGCAGAGCATCAGGCTGCTTCTTAGTCATCTCCCTCTGCACCAAGCCTGTTAGGAGCTGCAGGACTGGACTGAAATTCCGTGCCTGCCACAAAATCCTGTAGGTTTCAGAGTAGCCAGGCCCTCCCTGTGGATGAAAACGTTGGGAATAGCGTCGTGTTTGTGTGTGGTGTGCTGCCCCGAAAGGCTAACAAACAGTAAACACTCCTCGTCCGCTTCCTCATTTCCCCCATGTGAAAGAATTTGAAGTGCACAGGGGGTGTGCAGGTGTGTGCATGCAGGCAGAGCTCCAGAAGGCGTTATTTAAAAGCGCTGAACAGCTCCAAAGTGTGTAGGAGGAGACGGCAAAGGCTGATAGAGTCACACGGGGAGGAATTGGAAGCATCCTCGCTATTTCATAAGGAGGTGAAAACTTCACAGGGTATGTGTGGGGTTAAATGTCTGCACCTGAGCTGCTGGTGTCTGGGCTGGCTTCCACATACCTTCAGGAGCACTTGTCTGCTTCTCTAGCATGCTCTGGTGAGGTGCTACAGGCTCGCAGAAGGCAAATTATCAGTGTCAAAATCTAGGAAAGACTTGGAGCGAAGAGCTGCTGTGGTGCCTGGAGAGCTGAGGGTAGGGCAGAGTCTGCTCTCCGAGAGGGAGACCTCAGAGGTTTTCCAGGAAGCGAGATGGAGAAGCTGGGGGCTGGATTTAACCTCTCAGGCTCTCCAAACAAATGCAAATCGCAACCCAGTGTGCGAGCATGGGAGGGAGTTGCTCTGCTTATACTTGGAGGTATTGGCTCCAGCGAAGGCTGGCTGCTGCCAGACTTCCATCACAGATGTTCTGCTTGGTAAAACAACGTGTTGTGGCCTGCGTTCCCTCAGGGTTCGCCCACAAAACTGCGCAGCAAACTGCTCGAAGATTGAATTGATGTTTTTTTCCTTCATATTCCACATACACACAGTGTGCCTTGTTTCTATGCAAGATAAATAAAGGAAAAAAAACTCTGTCTCTCGTTAACCTTCCCCTCCTCCTTGCCAATACTCACTGCCCTTTTCTCTAATGCCGATGTGCTCTTATTTCTTCTATTCCCATGCAGTTTGAGATTCTCACCTCCATGAAATCCCTCCATAAGCACATAGACAGCTCCCAGCTGCCGCTAGAACTGGATGGGACCTTCCCTTACTGCCACCGGGACTGGTTAAGCTTCCGCATGGTAAGTGGGATGTGTTCTCTGGTGTCTGAAGGAAGGAATGGCACGGTAACGGGGCTGAAACAAGAGAGAGGAGCCTGTCAACAACCAGGCCTACAAGCATTAAAAGACAGTGCATTAATTCAGGTTTGACCATATTTGAAGGGAAAGAAGGAACAGCATCCTGCTGTGTTGTCTGTGGCACTTTACTTAAACTTTGAGGCTTAAGGGCAGATGCTTCTAGTGCTAATATCGGGTCAGTACCCCATCATCAAAAACTAAAAAATAATAATAAAAAAAAAAAGGTTAGATCCTGTTGGGTTGCAGGCAGGTTCTCCAGACAACACCGAGCTACTTGGGGAAAACTGCCATCCAGGTGGGAGTCAAGCTTGGAAGTTCCCGATAATCATTTCAGATACTTACAGGAACATCTCTCCTTCCTCCTTTGTTCACTTGTTTACCAAAGTTGTCATCCAATTTGACCTGTTTATAGAAAACATCTAAAGTAAAAAGACAGAGAAGATTCAGCCTTGGGGTGCACTGTTTGACTGCTGTGAGTGTGCCTTGACACCATGATCCTTTTTGACCCCTCTGTGGAAACATTTGAGGCGACCCAGGTTAAGCCTCAGGGACAGAGGGGCTGAAACTGCAGCACCCAGACGCGGTCTCCAAGGGAGGGAGCCCCAGCAAAGGGTGCTGCAGCCACCAAGGCTGCACTGATGATATTTGGCAGGACTGCAGATGTTGTTGGCCGTGCAGCAGGGGGTGTGCAGACTGCCAGGAGGCTGCAAAAGTAGCAGCTGTGGCGCCAGCACCAGCCCCGCGTGCGCCCTTGCTGCGGAGGGCGCGTAAGTCCTGCGGCTCGTGTGCTTGTTGAATCTTTACAAGCTGTACTGAGACATGATTTGGCACGCGGAGATGAGACGGGATTAAAGCTCTGTAAATCCGCGCACAAATTGGCTGTCTTCACGTTGGCGTTTGACTTGCTCGCCCCGCTGGATGACAGAGCCGCCACCTCTGCTTCCAAACCATTCCGAGCTCGCTGCACGGGGCACTGTGTGGCGCAGCATTTGAAGCAGGTTGTGGTATCACTGATATACCTCTGTTGTGTTGCTGGTGGAAAGCTTCAGCAGTCAGGCTCAGCGTGTGCCAAATGTTAACTTACCTTCTCCAACTTGTTTCAGAACCCATTTTTTTAAAAAACTCGCATCTAAAAAGCACTGAACCCATGCTGATGCAACAGAAACATAGAAGCCTGATTTGGTGCCTAGGCTTGAATCGGAGGTTTGTTTGGCAGCAAGGAAGCTTTGCAGCAGGACATGGATTCGTTTTTTGGACAGGGTCGAGAAAAGCTTGAGAGCTGAGGTGCTCAGTCTGGGCAAAAGGATAATTCTCGAAGGCAGGAGCATGACACCATACTCCCCCTTGTTTCTGTGCCTTACGTTTTACTGTGCAAAATGTTACCGAAGGGAGTTGATGTAGGGATGGGTCTGTTTGGGTTGCCTGTTTGTGTAATGCACTGCACGTGATAATGACCCATATGCTCAACCCCTTTTAGATCTGCAGCTGTGTGGCAAACAGATTTATTTCCTGCCTCAGCGATCTCACCTGCATCCTGCCTGCTAATCCGTCCCCTCTGGGGCTGTTCCAGCACTCCAAAGAGGGAGTTAAATTCAGTAAAGATTCAAACCAAAGCTTTTTCTTTTTTTTCCTTATTTTTTTGAATAGCTCTTTCTCCCTTCCCTGATTACAGTGGCTAGAGGGTGGCATTTGGGAGTCTTTATCAGTGACTGTTTAGAAAAGTAGCCTCCTCCCCTGTGTGTGAAATTGTGGTTGGTGGTTTTTTCCCTCAGAGAGGAGGGACTTCAGATTTGCTACTCGTTTAAGGTGCTCTAATTGTGGAAGCTTTCCAGTTTCCTAACCTTTAATTTACACTACTTTTAATATGAAGAGGAATGATTTAAAGTATAGAAATTGTACTCGTTCTAAGTTTTGCTCCTCCAAACTGCACTCATAGTGATTCATCTTAGTGGAAAGTTACAAGAAATGCTAATCATAGAAGAATGTGGGACATAATTGTACTGATTTTCTTTTCTCTAAAAGCATGGCCCAGACATGCCGTGGTGAGTTTGTAAGGTCTGTACAGAGGACTTGGTACAGAGTGATGCATCTGAAGCCTGTGATGGCTCCTGGGCTTCTTTTTGCTGATGATACAGCTTCACCAGGGGTATAATTGAACCCCTGGGTTAACACGTTTGATCCTGTCATGATTTCTGTCCTTCTAACCTTCTGCAAGCTGAAAAGATGGCTTTCTCATCAGCTGTGAGACAATGATCTTTGCCTTGGTCCTTTCCTCTTGTAGAAACTGGAACACTTGCTACAAGGATGCCAAGGGGCTTATGCCTTCCTCCAGGGAGCCATTCACAAAGTGGAATCTGGGAAACTACCAGAAAGAGCTGAGGTAAGCATGTAGAACACGCTGCTGCGTGGAGGAGCTGGTTCTTTGACCCCTCGGTGTCAACCCAAGAGATCTCCTCTTGAGTTGTGCTCGTTGCTGAAGGATTGCGTGCTGTGTAGAGAGGCGTCAGAGGAGGGGGGCGGAAAGAAGGAAGAGACATAAGAGATGAGTATTTTGTAGAGGAAAAAATAACATTAACAGGCAACAGAAACACCAGAGAGAGCCGTAAGCTGGCTTCAGAAAAGGGGCAGAGAAATCTGCTGTGTTTGCCAGCGAACTTCAGTGATTCGGTTAACTGTGTCGGTCAGGGGCAAGGCAAGATAATTTACGTTGGCAGGGTGGATGTGAAGCGTTCTGTGCAGCTCTGTAGCTGGCACTGCCTTGGTGGCTCTAGTACTGAGCAGCCACCTCGGGTTAGCTTGCGTGGCCTGCCTGACGTTATGTGGCAGCACAGTTTTCATGAGGCCAAGGCTGTGCTGCGGCTCTGGCTTTGCTGCCTCTAGAAGAGAAATTTGGAAGGGGGCAAGAGGAAGGTGCAGAGACCAAGCTGGTGTTGTTGCAAACACGTCATCCCTTCTTGGGAAGCCGCCTGGATACATGGGCACATCCACCAACCCTCTGGGTGCATCCTGTCCCGCAGCTTGTGCCGTGCAGGTCTGGCTCTAAGAAGAGCAGGAGCTAGCTGTGAGTGGAACATGAGGCTGAAAATAATGATTCTGTGCCCAGCAAATGGAGCACGTTAGGAGCTGGGTTTCAATTTTAGCCTGGTGGGCAAAGTATTGAGGGCATAAGGAACACTTTATCACTTTGGGCTTGGCAGGCTTGAGAGAAACAGCCCTGGGAACCAAGCTCCCTCTGTCCTAGGGTGGGACAAGGTGAGATGTGGTTTGGGTTGGGTTGTGCCCTGTTGTTTTTTTTTTTTTTCCCTGTTCCCTCATTGCCCATACATTGCCGTGACCGCTCATCTCACTCTTACAATCCCTGCAGGAGGCGGCTGTGCTGCTGAGGAATTACAGGCAGTTGATGAAGAACGTTCTGGAAGACGCACGGCTGGTCCGGCTGCAGCTGGAGGGTGGAGCGCTCCTGGCCAGGCTGAGGAAGGAGGAATCTTGTGTCACCCTCACCCGTGACTACAGGTGAGCCCCAGCAGGGTGGGAGAGGAGGAGCAGGAGGTGAGCAGAGAGCAGGCAGGGGCAGCCCGGCCATGACCCATCCCTTGGTGCAGGCCAGTGTGGTTTCGTGTGTAGTGAGGGACTTCTGTTGGAAACAGCAAAAGTGAAGAGCATAATGAACTGTACACTTATCCTGGCTGCTCTTTCCTCAGTCCAAAAATTCATCCCTTCCTGACTGGGTTCATTTAGATGGTTGTTTAAGTTCTCTTTCCAAGCCAAACCTCCTGTAGCGAGGAGAGGGCCGGATGCTTTGTGCACCCCTGAAGCACAAAGCCTGCTTTGACGATGCCGGTGATCAGCCTTTGGGTCCGAGGCGTTATCAGGGTGCGATTTGCCAAGGCCCTCCTTATGTAAGGGGATTTCCAAGGACCTTGACTGCGAGGAATGCTTTCTGGCTCCAGCAAGCGCTGATCTCTTCACACATTGGTGCGGTTTGCACAGCAAATATTCTCTGCCCGTTTGCAGAATTGGTATGAGAAGCGGGGGGGAATGAGAGAGGCCAGCTGTTTGAAATCCCCGGGGCATTGCACAACTCCTGTTTGTACTGCTAAAACACCTGAAGCCTATCAGCGTGTGAAGGCCTCTGTGCTATGTGCTGTGCAAACAGCAAGGCAGCCCTTGCACCCAGGAGCTTCCAGCCCCAGCAGGAGGGAGATAAGTCCTGCTCTGTGGGTATGGCGGGGGCACAGCGCATGGCCGGGCAGCGAGGGATGGCCCCGTGCATCTGCAGCCTGGCCCTCATTAAATTCTCTGTTGCCATCACAAGCTGAGAGGTTTAAAGGAGGGAAGGAGGGAAAGGAGGGAAGATAAGAAAGCAGCTTGCAGGGTGTTTCACCCGAGCGCAGGGAAAAGAAGGTTTCTCTCTGAAAATCCAACAAGTGGATGAGGGTGCAAGTCGCTGCCTGTCGCTGGGAGGCAGGGGTTGGCATTTTGGGGCTGAGTGCTAGGGGAGCCTGGGGCCCAGCGGTATCACCGTTCCGTTTCCCTGCCTGCTGTGACTCCTGCCAGCAGCTCTGGCAAGCTGCGAGGACTCACTTCTTTTGCTGAAATGTTTGAGTGCTCTTGATGCAGTTTGGAGCAGAATTGGGACAATGCAGCCTTTTTATTCTGACGTGGTGTGAGAAGCACGCATAATGCAGGTTGTTGTGGTTTGTGTGCGCCTTTTTTCTCTCCCTTTAAAGCTGCTGTGAGTTGATTAAAATTAGAGTCTTCAGAGAATGGGGAGAACACGCTCGCTTTTTATGTTTTGTTTTGTTTTTAAGCTAAACCTGTGTTCTTGTGCAGGGAAATGATCAACTTTGAAACCTGATCTGACAGAGCCCCTAAGGATAATTTACTGCTTTGATTACCTTAGCGAGGGCAGGGGTGGGACACACACACACAGCGCTTTGATTGCGCTGTGTTTGAGCACATGCCGAGGCAGTGTAGCGTGTTCCCTGTTTAATTCAGGTCGTATTCGTTGCCTACCGGTATGAATGGAGCGTGTATGCTGCAGGTCGGATACGTGGGGCTGTGTCCAGCCTGAGGAGCTTTAACCGAATGCAGATGGAAAATGTTAGTCGTATTTTAGGCTGTGGAACAGTTGCAGAACCTAAATTCCATGCGGTGCTTTAAATAAGGAAATGCCTGCTTGTTGTGTAAGTCAGATGCTCAGGGCAGTGCACTAAAGATGTTCGCTCTTCGCTGCTCCAGGATCCTTGGCAACGAGGAGAAAGGCTCCACGGCTTGGCCAGAGAACTCTGCATAAGGCACTGCTACTTTTAGATCCTCCACAGATTGCACTTGCCCTTTTAGCTCCTCCTGTCCAAATTGCTGTGCAGATTTAGAGGTTCTGGGCTCTGTTACTCTGTAAAGGCTCCTGGGTAAGGCTGCCTTAGCGAACAGGATCAAAGCAGGGTTGTAACAGAACCCTGCAGTTGGCCTCCTAAGCTAGCGTGCCGTGGCTGCTGATGGATGTGGGTCCACCCTGAGCCTTTGGGTGGTGATACGTGAAAATGGAACAGGACCAGCTGTGGCTGTGTGCTCAGCAGGGCCTGTTTATCGCTTTTCTGAGCTTGTGAGTTGTAAAATTTTGATCAGTGCTGAAGTTTTTAATCCTCCTCCCCCCTACCGGTACTTGAAATATCAGTATTTACAAAAGCAAAATGGTTTTGTCCTTCTGAGCCTCCTTATGGCTTTTGTTAATCACGTCACATTATTTTAGTGTTTTTTTCCCCTTGTGTTGTAAAAACCTGATCAAGCAAAGAGTCACAACAGCCCAGACTTCTTAGTCTGAAGTTGTGAGGCCAGCTCTGAACAGGTAACTGACAAAATCTGCAAGAATTTTATGTAAGTAGAGGCAAAAGTTTTAAGAGCAGGAATTTTCTGCAGTCTTAGCTTCAATTAGTTAAAATATGCCAACAATAAATACAGGGCTAATAATAAAAAGCATGATTTTTCTGAAGAGGCATAGAGGGGAAGGACAAGCCCAGCTACACCATCACCATGGGACTGAAGAAGCAAGAGCTCTGCTTGCTGCTGTGTAGGGGATGTGTCCTGCCAGCTCTCAAGGCTGACTTTCCTTCTAGCTTGTAGCTTCACATGGCAAAAAAAAAATAATCCTGAAGTGGTAGGAGCAGAGAGGTACAGACCAGTTGGAAAACACGTAAATAATGCTTAGCTGCAGGTTGGAAGTAGCATCCTGAAATAGGCAAGCAGCCGGTTGCTATCTGCTGAATACCATTTGGATGCACGTAGCAAGCAAACCTTGCTCTAGTCATTCTTCAGTAATGCAACTTCTCCCTTGGGGCTGCTTTTGGCATCTTTCCCTGCTCTGCCCTCCTAGAGAGCCAGGATGTCCTTTGGAGTGTTCGGTGCCGCAGAGCACTGGGACCTTGCTGCTGCTCGGGTCTGACCCGGCCTTTGGGAGGGTTTGCTAAACCAGCGACATGGCTCCTTTCCTACAGAGATTGAACCCATCGCATCAAGTCATGCAGTAGAGGTGCATCACAGGACATCCAATTGTTTCTCTGACAGATGCTTTAAGAGCCTCTGAGAACCCCTCGTGGATGGTCCCCTCCTGAGAGGTGCTGCAGCACCTGGCCGGTGGCTTTGGCTGGTAACTGCTCTCTGTCCCCGGTGTGAGCTGACCTGGAGTCCCTGTGCTCTTTCTCATCAAGTAATACTGTAAAAGAGAAGCCTTGCTCACCAGCTGCTGGTCCACAGAGGGTGCTTGAGCGGGTCCAAAGAAGGGCGACGAAGCTGGTGAGGGGCCTGGAGAGTAAGTCCTGTGAGGAGCGGCTGAAGGAGCTGGGCTTGTTCAGCCTAGAGAAGAGGAGGCTCAGGGGTGACCTTATTGCTCTGTATAAGTACATTAAGGGAGGCTGTAGCGAGTTGGGGGTTGGCCTGTTCTCCCATGTGCCTGGTGACAGGACAAGGGGGAATGGGCTAAAGTTACGCCAGGGGAGTTTTAGGTTAGATGTTAGGAAGAATTTCTTTACTGAAAGGGTTGTTAGGCACTGGAACGGGCTGCCCAGGGAGGTGGTGGAGTCACCATCCCTGGAAGTCTTCAAAAGACGTTTAGATGTAGAGCTTAGGGATATGGTTTAGTGGGGACTGTTAGTGTTAGGTTAGAGGTTGGACTCGATGATCTTGAGGTCTCTTCCAACCTAGAAATTCTGTGATTCTGTGATTCTGTGAAAGGCTCTCCGAGCAGTCTTCTGTTTGGATCTCGCCACTGTCCCACCTCCAGGAAGACCAGGCTGAACCTGACTGAGGTGGGGGTGTGGTACCGGTGAGCCTGAATCCTTCTGGTGCCTCCTTCAGTGCTGTAAGGATAGCTCCTGGTAGCTCCAGCACCTGAAGGTGCAGGTGGGCTGCTGAAGCCAGCTTTGCCACTTATTTATTGTTAGAGGAGCCGGCAAGGGTTTAAACACAGCACGTTTGGTGGCGCACCAGCTGCTGTCCTGAAGGCTCAGTGCTTCTTCAGGTCTGTTAGCTCAGGAGTTGAAAGGGTTCCAGGTTTTGCTGCGCCAGCCTTCCTGGGGATCGAAGTGCCAAGCCATTAGGCTGGCTGAAGTTCCTGTTGGTGAGTGTGGACAAATGCCGTGGAGACATCACCACTTCGGTGCTGTTAATAGATAGTTTTTTATTATTATTTTTGGACAGGAAGTCTTTAATGAACTCAGTCTTTAAGTCTTGTAGGGCTGGCTGGCAGGTGTGTCTCTGGCTTTGGGATATCTCATGTATCGATCAACCACCGTGTGGCCTGGAGACAACTCACCCCTGCCAGCTGTAGAAGGCGTACCAACACATCGCTTATTTTGGGGTGGATTTTGAAGATTCCTCTGACACTTCCATCGTAAGCCTTGGGAAGCTGCCCAAAGCTGGGCAGCAGCAGTGGGAGCTCTTACTAAGGCAAGGGGTCAGTGTGGGGACCGGGCAGTGAGGCAGAAGCTTCTACCCTGTCTTCAGCCAGATGTTTTCCACTGTTGTTCTCATTATTGCTGCTCTTCTGGCGTGGCCAGGAGCTGGGAATGCGTGCCAAGATGAGGTATCCAGTGCTGCCTTTCGTCCTCTCGATATGCTGTGAGTCAGAAGTGGAGGAAAGGAAATACAAACGTTTTTTTATTAATGTAAAGGTGCCTGCCTTACACTAGTCGAACCAGAATGCGCCTGGTGTGTTGCTCTGCTGACAAACCTGCACTTAGCACGGCCCAGCAGTGGAGTCGCATCACGTCCTGCCTGCTGGTGGGCAAGGTGGCCACAAGAATAGTAGTGAGAGCTGGAAAAAAAAAAGAGGAAAACCTTCAGATGGTGAAAGCATGGCCAGGTTGGGTGCTGGGCTCTGTGCAGCACGGAACCAGAAAAATCATCGTCTCTTCCCCCAAGCTTCTCATCTGAAAAGAATTTGTGCTTGCAAGCTGTGAATAAACAGCTTATAAATAGACAGAGGAGAGAAGCCTCCTTTTGTTTGCGAAGGCAGT